GCGAGCCCACTGTATTCATTTGATCTTAAAGTTATGGATAGAGTGCTAGACAGTGTAAATAAGTCGATTAATAAGGGTACGGAACCATACAATTCAACATCTACTTTATTTTATGGTGCTAGTTGTAGTAAAATTAGGTCGAACAAAATAAGGTGTTCCATGAGTTCGTGACGTCAGTAGTTGTTAGTTCAAGAATTGTAAGAAGGTATAAATTTTCTAGATGTGATTATTGAAATTATAAAAATCATATGTTAGAAACTAGTTGATGTCCTTCAATAGGTGCAAATGTATCTAATTTTTTTCTTTGAAATGAATTTTCTTCCTCATTTATATACATCATTGTTATTTTAGCGTTTGCAGGTGTGTAAGTTTACTCGTTAAGGTGGGAATTCATACTTTGCATTTGCTTGTGATTATGTAGATATTTCATGTTTTTTTTCATTTGAAGCATGCTTTTCTCCTCACATTAAATTTACCAATTGAACATTCTACTTTTAGTCATTGTATAGATTTCCATTCAATAGGTTAATTAATTTTAATAAAGTTGGTTCATACTGTTGTTTTCAATTTTTGGGAATAGAAATCATATTCTGTCCAACCAATATTTATCAGCTGCTTTGTAACATACGAATCCTAGTGGCTAAAGCATTACATAAACCTGATATAAGCAAGATACATATTTTCCATAGTCATCGACAGTTCATCATATTTGTGTGTGGGCTGTGATACTGCTTAGGTGCCCAGACCGAAGCAGGTGGTCTTCTTAGGGGGCCACACGTGGAGCCTTTGACCTAAAGGTCTGACCCACAAGGCAGTGGAGCATCGTGAGGAGATGCGGCCCCATGGTAGCTGGTGACCAACGACTGGTTCATACGCCATTTGTTCCCTCAAAATACTGGAGCCCATGTACACCATTGGTTTAGAATCAGGGTTTTTCAACTCCCCTAGGTGGACTCTTCATGTCCACCAACCCGGTTAAAGCGCCGAACATTTGCTTTTCGTCCTTTCATTTTCGTAGACAACACCCCTTCCACGAGAAGGCAGTGAGTAGGACTTCCCTGGCAGAGGCTGTATACGATTGGTCATGTGAGAGCATTTCGGGAGGGAGGGAGGGCGGTCCCACCCCACTCTCGACCATACCAGGGCACTTGGGGGCCGAGAGATGGTGCGACACAGTGGCTAGAGATATTATCAGATATGGCTAAGAATAGGAGCCAGTGGCGATCCTGCTGTAACCTTCTTTTACTTTCTTCATAAAAAGTGGATGTATCTTCCTTAACTGAAAGATTTCTTCTGGTTGTACCTTTCCGTTTCCCCCATTATTATTATTACACTACCTTACACTAATCTCTTCGTTACTGTTCTTCTTTTTTTCTCTTCCTGTTCTCATTGTTTTGTGTGGCGCATATATATTTGATGTCCTATTGTACCAATATTTATGTGTTCAAATAAATAAATAAAGATACATATGCTGAGCAACAAATTTATTTTGTTCGATACTTATAATCAAATATTCTCCAGTTATTTGCATTGTTTCACAAGCATAGTATCTTTTTATTGGAATCAGACTAGTGATCATTAAAATTCACTGATGTATTTTCCATTTTCAATCTGTCTTCAATAAAGTCTTCTTTGATTTACTTTGTTTAATTTTTCTCATGTCAATGATTTCATCTGAATGACGTCACCGATTATTTTGTTTTTTAGACTAGATCGATCAATATTCTGCCTAATAATTTAAGAGTTCGTTTTTAAGGAATGTCAGGATAAATTCTAAAGAAATATAGACCGACCACTTTACTTTCATATCGAACATGTTGACAATATCTTACCGTTATTCCCATAAATTTAAATGCTTTTCGAAGCAAAGCGTTATTTAGTTAAGCGTTTGTAATTTCCTATCCTTTGTTTGTAAGACTGCGACTGATCTGCTTTTGTTACAGTGTGGATCCTGGTCAGATTGCGTCTATATATTGCGTTGTGGATTCTATCATAAGAGATAGACCGAATATACTAAAAACATTAATTGGTTTCAAAAGTTTTAATTAATTAGCTGCAAACTACTTACCAACTTGATTATTTGTATCTTGTTCATATATAGTTAGCTTTTTGTTGCTTGAATGTCGTATTATTAATGGTTTCAATATAAATTAACTCGGTTACAAAAAAAACTACTCAACGTTTATATCCCATTAAGTGTGTTAATATTGACATTTATTACCTCCTAACTTTAATTTCGACTTGATACCAAATTTTTCACCGTTTTACGTCACAGGCTTATCTTGGTTAAAGAGTTATTCAGAACCATAAAGCACTAGTATGTTGTTTTGTCCTATTATGGGGTTTCTCACTAGTGTACATGCATGACTCCACCGAGAATCAAACTCAGCGCCTTCAAGGCTCTTGGTGAGAACCTAATACCCAGTTATTTACGTCTCTCTCTCTCACACCATATATATAATAGATTGGGTGTGGTTTTTGAATAGTACTTAACCTTATTTTCTTTTGGAATTCTATATTTGTGATATATAGATTCATAGTTGACAGCATCATTTACTGTTTAAAATGTACTCATCCACCTTTTGCCTTAAGTAGAAAGTGATAAAATTGAGAGTAATTTCCTGTAAATGAAGTGTCTACGTTTTACCGTTTATCTTCTTTCGTATTACTCAACTTAGGCGTGTTACATGAAAATTACCTACATTAATAAACCAAAATGTAATTTTTTACTACTGTATTTGTATATATGTTCTTCACTTTACTTCCTGTATTTATCTGTTGTCTGTTATTGAAGTTGTGGGAAATGTAAAAGTCTACTTTTGAGATTATAGTACAAATATGATTATTTAATTGGATGCCATGGTAACTGAATACATTTCGCTCGTTTTCTTGTGTTTGTTTGTATAAAGATATTGATTTTGTACTCATTTAACCCTGAAATAATTATTTTCTAATTTTACTGTTTTATTACCTATCATTCCCATCTATTATTGATGTTCCAACTGTCGGATTTGTCTCTTTTGAACATTCTCCTTTTTTTAAAAAAAAAAATTAAAAAATTATTCACTGTAGAATGGTTTACTATGCCTAAATGTTACACAACTTTAGTTGAAATTACTATAAGAACAATGGTAGAGAGGAAAAATGAAGAAAGTTATAATGGATTAAGGAATCAATTGTTAATGTAAAACATCCGAGTTTCAGTTTTTACTCTACTAATTTTCCTAACTCATATTTTCTCTAGTCATCAAAGATAATGTTCGCATGAAATCATTATACATTTAAATAATTCTCTACGTGTTTTTATTTGTAAATAATAATGTTTAATTTTGTATCACTGATCCAATACCCAATTGAGTATTGGTTTAATATACTGTCTCATAATTTGTTTAAACCTGGTTAACTGAACTGTAAGAAAATGATAAATAAAAACGGATAAATTAACTCCACTTTAGTCAAACTGTTTGTTATCTATATATTTCTAAAAATAAATTATTAAATAGATATTAAGAAGTAATTTATTTTGGGTATCCTTTTATTTCTTCATTTCACTTTACTACAATAATGATGGTACTGTTCCCTTCTTAATTGAATACGAAAGCTAATCTTTATAGCTATCGCATAATTATCCTATTTAAATTTATCACTACTCAAACCGCGGATGATTTTGGTCAGACTGATTTATTTAAGGAGACAGTTTGGTATTTTATACCACATTTGATAATGTTATGATCTTGATTATTTACTGACTGATCTATGGTTTCTTTAATAACACAAACTAGAGGATGAATAAAATATTGATTGTGTATCTGGTCAGTGATATTTATTACTATTTACTCGTCATAGATTCATTAAGTGGTTAAATAGTTTATTAGTCTATGATCGGAGACACTTTATTACACCTCATATTGACAGATTTCTAAAACAAAGAGTATATTCGGAATATCGCATCGATCTGTTCAGATTATTTGGAAAGATAAAGAGCAAAAAAACTACTCCACTTAATTGAAATTGAAAGTATTATGTTTTTATTTCTAGGTATAAGTCCCTGTTTCTCTAGTAATTTCAATCAACCAACATAAACGAAGTAAATACTGTTGTTGTTGCTCATAACGATGTTGAATGTTTCACTGAGAGATCATAGCACTAATATATTTTCAGTGTAATTTACACTAATAGCTAGTTTGTCTTTAGTATTCTTATAATTTATTGCATGTTTTCTTTTCAATCGGTGTATCAATTCACTTGATACAAATGATTGTTATAGATAAATCACTTTACAAGGATATTGGTTAATGGTGATTCATAGTTTTTGTCTCCTTAACTTATCATTATTTTTCCATAATATATTACAGACTTTTATTTTATCAACTCGGTGATTCAACAACAGGCAGACAGTTAAGATGTTTTTGTTTACACCCCACTTGAAATTACAAAGAAGTTCGTTGCTATTGTAAAACAAGACAATAGGCAGGAGGAATGTATGCTTATCATGTCACAAAGTATTTACACATTACATATACGTAGTCTTTAATCTTCCAGTGTGTTCTGTGGCCTAAACCGTCTTCTCGTCTGACCTCTACATGTTACAACAATGCTGTGCTTTCGATGCACTGAAACTTTTCACTCTGTTTCAACTTCAAAAACCACGTTTCGTTATACACTACTTACAAACATCCTTTTGAGTAGCGTCCACTACACTATAAGTACTCAAATGATATTTAGTAGGTTATCTATCTGTACTAAATTATGGTTTCAAAAACTTTTCAATCAATATTCAGCATACACTACCGTGTTGCACCATTGCATAATGTGTTTTTCCCCCGCATGGTTACCTTAAAATTGTAGATTAAAATAAACAACATCATAGTTGAATTATAATATTGTATTTAAATTGGATTGAACAACTTTTTATATGCTTCTAGTGTGTATTATTTTATACTATTTATGATTAATGCATTTTTTTTATTTTAAAAAAAATTCATTTTCCTTCTATCTAGTTTGAAATTGATGAAATTGATGAACTAACTACACAATATTTAATGGATATTTTATATCCTAAACAAGAAGAAAAACAGTTTATATTTCAAAAACCCCAAGGTCCTATGGGACGCCGTCCTAGAACACATATACATTAATATTTACTTTTGAATTTTCTCATTAATAATTATAAAATATTCTTATAATTATTACTATTTTATTGCCTTCTATTTCATGAATTTTCATTGATTTATTCACTTCAGAATATATTGATATACATACTTTTTCTATTTAATCATTATCCAATTTTTCATTCTTATATTTCTGTTAAAAAGAAAGTGTATGAAAGAATTAATTTTACTGCTGAATTTGTACATCGCATATATACATATATCAGTTTTATTTCTACTGTACAACTATATACATCTATGAAATCGTATAGAGTGCCCTTAATGAAATTGAATGATTTCGGTATACATATATCTCATCTTATCATATTGCCTTAATAGAAATGAGTGGAATTCTACTCAAATTTTTTTCTTTCCAATTCATGTAGTAGTATTATCAATGAACAGTTGAAAATGTTCACTGATTCAGTTCCTCATATAATAGATATATATGTACTTTATTTTCATTCCTGATTATTTGTTTAGATACAGCTGTTGTCTTGGTTGTTTTTCTTTTTGTTCTATTTTTCTCTTATAAAAACTTCCTATCTATCATTTTGTATAATGTATGCATTGATTTTATGACATATATATACATTATGTTCAGCACAGATTTCGTTTTTTATGATTATAAACTTAATATAAAAATGATATATTTATCACAAATTAATGTTAGCTGGTAAATAGAAACAATTGAAAATGAGATTGCATTGACACAGTTCTCCCGTCGTAATTTAGGATTCTTCGACAGTGTGCACTTATATCTCAATTACTAACGATTAAATAGAGGCTTTCTTCATAAATTCCTTTTATTTATAGCTACTTTTAGTGTATATAGTCATTAGACATGGATAAAACGTATATCTTAATGAACAGTTATAATCTTGTTTTAACTGTGTCCATTTTCGGATACATTTTAATTTAGTAATTTTAATACAGAAGTGGCATGGTCTTCTTTTTTGACACATCAAATTACTTTTTTTATCTTTGAGAATGTAATATTAAATAAATAAGTGGACTGTTTTATGCATATATGAACGTAGATCAGTGGTTACAGCGCTAAAATTACATATTGTGGTGTTACAGAAATTAAATGCAACCTCTTATTTTGAATTACGCAGTCTAATAAAATTTGTCCGACTCATCATAAATGTGGTACAACTGAAAACTTGAGCCTGTGCATCATTATGGCATATAATGTAGAATGCATAAAACAACGCACATTTTAGTTACCTACTTAGGAAATCAACTTAGTTATTCCGTTTCATACTATACGAAACTAAAATAACACCACGTGAACTATGTAATGTAATCTAGAGTTACAGAGCTTAACGTGTGGATGAACTGATTGTTGTAATTTCTATATGAATGCTTTCGTTTGATATTCTATGAACAACATTTTTTAAAAAATCATGTGTAAGAAATATATTTAACAGTGATGAAGTGTCATCACATTTAATTCTGTATGTTCCAAACATGAAAGATAGACAACAAACCTCTAAGTTCCTGCTGTGGTGTGTGCTACTTATATTGACATAAGTAGTAGATGGTGTTAGTCGTGAACAGAATGTCTGGCAGCAGAGAGACATGAGGATCGAACAGTAAAGAATGGAAACAGACTGCAATTTGTATGAAAATGCAAGAACAATGAAGTCTGAGTCATTATGAGACAATTGATGGATATTTTGCAAATTACGTATTTACTATACTATTTGATTGTTAGATTTTAAAGTTCTGTAATTTTGTGTCAAATACATACGATTGTCCCCACTCGTAATCTGTTCACTTGTCTGCTAACTGTCATAATATAGTCAGTGGTTAGGCTTTTTCTCACCTATTCTTTAGTACTTAAACAATGTTTTAACGAAATTTTATAATTGAGTTACACTATTTACTTTTTATTAATCAATTAGTAAGTGTTATTTTAGTGTTTATTACTTGTCATATTAAACTAAACCTCTTCATTAATTAAACTAAATTACTCAATATTGTTATAAATAATAGTTTACTTTCTCATCAAATAGTAAATTATTCTATAACTTGAAGTATTAATAGATTACACTGACAAAAATAATATATAATTCAGTCATTTTCTTATATTACATTGTGTATAATATATCAATATTATTCACCTTGTAGATTCCAGAAATGTTTATTTTCAATGATAAATCGATTGTAAATTAGTTTATTTTGAAATTCCTACGTAGCATTTCTTCTTATTAGTTCAAAGTTATTTATCATTATTATGTATTATTGAGTACTTCTTAGTATTCAATAAACTAATTACTAATTAAATGAATACTAAATAGATTTGTATCTAGCCTTTTGTTTTGGTTAAGTAAACTATGAATTCTCAGAATAGAACCTAATGTAATTAGTTTTAAGATTGTTTGAGCCTTTTTCTACTCACATATTCAACTCTATAATTGAATACTATATTGAAGTAATACTTATTATTAATCTATGAAGTCATTTATCATAGAAAACTAGATTATTTTGTTTGGATTCCAAGTATCAATAGAAATTGCATGTTAATAAGTATGCATTAAAGTACAATACTATGCATTATGTTTTTAGATGTGTTCCTTAGTTTTTTTATCATAATCATACTATATATATGGTATGAAATTATGTTTAATTATCTAGCTCATGCGATGAAAAATATTTCTCTTAACGCTATGAAAATTGGGATGATTTTTTCCGTAAGTATCATTGATAAACTTTTGGTAAGATGAAGGATACGACACTCTCTTTGTAGTTTGTTTTCAAATCACAAGACATACTATTAATTATAAATATTCTTCTACATACATTTGAAATCAATCTTTATCTAATTCTAAAGGAATATATTAGTTTAGTTGAGTAGTCAACGATTATTTCTCTCATAAACAAAAACGAAAAACTTCCTAAATAGTCTATAAACCCAATTACTACTTTAAATTTTCCAATGATTTCATATGATAATTGTCCTTGTTTTTTTTTGTTTTTTTGGTTACAGTTGGTTTTTCAATAAACAAAATCTAAAACTAATGATGAACTTAGAACAATATAGAAATTGGTAGTTTTTCCAAAGTGATTAGTTCATTTTTATGTAGAGTATAAATACTCTATAATACATTACTGAAAAATGATAGTTCTGAATCATTTAATAATTTCTAATAAGAAAGCTAAAATCAACGTAATGGAAATATACTGACAAAATAATCTTTAAAATATATCGTTCATTAAGAATGTATATAATCCTTGTTTACTAAGGATCTTTTTCATGGTAAGTTACTTCTAATACCAAATTCACGGCAACATATAGTGTTAACTACTTTATAAGAAAACAAATTTATTTCAACTTACTAGTGGATAATTTAAAAACACAGTATAGGGAAGGATTATTATTTTCAATTCTAAGGAAACTTCACATACTCCTTCCAATTTTGATGAACGTCATTGTTAATTATAATCACTGTATTCTCATAATTATCAAGTTAATAACAGTAGTTATATTCTGGAAATAAATCTTCAATTATACATTATCTAAATTAAATTATGAATTCTTTCAGGGTTCAATTATGTATACCATTCATTTGTATTTCAAAAAATAAATACATTTTTATAATCAGAATGGGTTTTGTGGAGATTTTAGAAATTTCACAGGTTGAAATCATGAGTCAGTTGAAGCTAGACCACCATTGAAAACCTGGAAGCACTGGACGGCCGTTTCGTCCTAGTATGGGACTCCTCAGCCTGTGACATTCTATAAACTAATTGGTGTATACATCATTTTTCAATGATGATATACACAACGTTAATTTCAACAAAAATGGTAATCTGCTTATATAATTCTTAAATAATAATAAGCGTATTGTATTACTGATCTCTCTAGTAACATAATTATATTCTTTTAAATTGATTCTATTCCATCTATATTTTATAAAGTCTGATAAATGAATTTATTACTGTATAAGTAGTTCTATATTATGTGACCATGAACTATCAATTTAGATCTTATTACTATCTATCTATTAGTATTTTGAAAATTATTTCTATCCTGACGAAGTTCATAATACTGAAAATAGAAACTTTATACTAAATATAACGTATAGATCTTCATTCAAGAGAATTTACTAGTCCTATAATTTGTTAATTAGACTGCAACAAAAAAATGTTTAGTTAAGTTATTATTCATGAAAACAAGTTTTCTTTTGTAAAAAAAATGACATTCTAATTATCATACGAAATAAAACCACTAGACTGAAGAAATCACATTAACAGTGCATGAAAACAATACTAAATTTCACTTTATTTTCTCAAATTATTGATATGGAGAGACAATCAGAAGTAGCCTAATCAGGTCAATCAATGGTAATCAAATGTGACCTAGAGGATACATTCATTTGATTGGCTAAGAAATGGGTTGATTTCCTAAGGATAGAGTGGTATATATATAACTATATGTACATTTTATTCGATAGTTCAGTACACTTTTGAGTTCTCACTCAAGTAGTCAGTTGGGTGGTTAGCGCCTAGCACACAGTGAATCAGTATCAGATTTTGGACATCGCCTGTCACAACGCTCATGAAATCTGTGAACATATTATTAGAAACTTTATTAAAGAAAATAGCAAATAAGTATCAATACCAAGGTTGGACGCGATAGTTTCAAATAAATCGAGCATTAGGTAGAGAGTTAATAATAAATACATTTTTCTTATATCCCACTGAATAGGAAAACTGTATTCATGACGTTTCTTCAGAGTAAATTTACTCTAAAGAAGTGGCCTACATCGTTAAGTCAGGAATACAATTTTTCCACTCGTTGGGGTATAACAAAAATATATTTATTATTAAAATAGCAAATATTCTCAACTTTAATTGCAAAAATTGACATTTGTTGAAGAATACATTGTAAATCAAAATGTATTGAAAAGTTGTTTAGTTTTAAGTAGTATATTTCAACAAACTCATCCAGAATCGAGTACAAGATATTCAATGTTTTCTGATTGATAGTGAATTTTCAGGTGGATGTTAGTTCGTAACAACAAACACTTTCATATTATGCAAATCTGATTATTCATTCATTGTAAATATTATAAAAATGAAAAATAATCTTATAAAGAAACAGCATTCAGGATTATTTCTTCTAATTAATCAACCAATTACTATGCGTTTTCAAAATTAAATCATTCATTCATTTTGTATGAATTGTTTGAACCTTCGTACTAACGTTTAGAACGGCAATTGATCAGTCTCTTATTGGCATATGTTCATGCTGTGCAGATTGCCTCGATCTTGCCTTAGGTCACAATCATTATAAGCAGAGATGAATGGTGGCTAGCAGTGGAATCTAGGACACGCATTTCGTCCGGTCTAGGACTCATCAGCTGGATCTACCTGCATGTCAGAGTTGATGTCTACTCCGGGACTGATCAATTTTAATTCTAAACGTCAATATGAAGATTCAAATAACCAATACAAGATGAATTAAATCTCACCCCATTGTAAAAGTTACTAGCTATCTTGACTCAGTAGCTGAGTGAATAGCGTGATAGTGTTTGAAGCGAACGATACTGAGTTCCAGTCCCGAAGTGAACATTAATCCTGAAATGCAGGTAGATTGAACTGATGAGTTCCAAATAGAATCAAACGCG